TTGATGCAAGGCAAGTTTGAATTCTTAAAACGGAAGCGAAACTGCAACTGCAACGTTGAAATCATTTAAAAGAGTCGTGCAAAATATTTTAGGGAAATCATAAAACCTCTAATTACCCTGAGATCTCGGGTGAAGTGTTGAAGTTATACAAAAATATGAAGACACTTGCCTCAATATTCACATCTTGAAATCTCATCAAATGTTATTTTTAGAAAATTTGGCTGAAGTGAGTTGCGAACATTGATAAATGTTTTATCAGCAAATATATCTTGGAGAAAAAGTAATAGGGACAACGAAAGTGTAAGTACGATCTTGGGTTATTGTTGGACGCAAAATGAATTCACGAAAAAAACCGCAGTTATTCCATTTTCACTTGCTTTTTTTTCAAAATTTATTAAGATTTCACAAAAAGCAAGGGTGAGGGAGAGTAACTAATCACCAACGCCGAGATTTCAGGACGTCTTGTTTTTCAATCTTCAGTGATGGTCTTGCAACTAGGAAGTACTTACACCATGACGCAATTTAAAATGTTTTAAATAATTTTCAAAATATTAATTCTAAAACTAACAAGCAAAGCTCTAAGAAGAAACGAACAAATAAATATAAAATAGAATTTATACAAAATTCTAACTTACGTAGCATCCTACTGCTTCAAAACGCCTCTAAAATTACGTTCCCAAAGCGCAGGAAATAAGGAGCAGGGGGCCTATGTTTGACGATAAAATACTCCAAAAATACTCATATTTTTGCAAAATTCAAAATGTTCTTACTTGAAGGTCTGTTTGATATGAACGCATTTCATATAGAAAAATTGTATCTAGATAATTGTAGTTGTAGGAAGACGCCGAAAAACGTTTGATTTTTTTTTCAATTTTCGAAAATCAGGATTTTTAACCAATATGAGACTTCCATTTTCTTAAACGGCCTTTAGACTATCCAACACCAAAATTTAATCAATATTTAAGCTTCATTTATTTTTTTAATTTGAAAATATTCCCGCGCTTAATGTAAAGTACGCTCGAAAATTAAAATATCAATTCGAAATTCAAAGGGCTGCTACATCCGCCAGATCGACTGGGGGAATATCAATTTTGGAGAAAATCGGTTGAAGGGTTTAGCCCCTAGCATTGTTCACAGACGCACGGAAAGACGTTTTGCCGTTAATCGACTTTTCAAAATCAAGGATCCACAAAACATGGATTCTGGCTACATCATGTGTTAGAGGATTTTTTTCTAAATTAAGCAAATTAGATTTATCCACATTTTCGTTACCAGGACCCTGTAAAAAGAGTTTTTCTGCTGAAAATTCGTATTTTTTCTCGCAGAATTACATAATTATCTTTTCTCAAAAATTACCTTCTTAAGAACGATAAAGTAAAACATTACTTATGTTGAAGTATGAGTTTACTGTGTTTCAACAACATACGTTCTTTGGTAGACGTGTTTATATGAATTATTATTATAAACAATTATTACAAGTGTTGATACAAATATATCTCATGATGTTGGCGATATAGTTATCTAATGCTCATTTCACACTATTATTGAGGGGTTGGATAACAGTTCTGAACATAAACTGCGGAAATGACAAACCTTATACAAAATGAAACAAACAACTCTACAGATCAATCACATACAACTTGTCGAACACTTAAATACAAAGTGAGGTAAGAAAGGTAATTTTTTTTCTGGTTCAGTCTCATGTACATAATGTTTTGATAAATAAAGTGCAAAAATTTCATTATACGAACATCAGGGTTACCAAAGTTTTAAAATCCCCAAAAATAGAAAGAAATGAATCATAATCAGTAAGGAATTATAAAACTGCTATATCATTTTATAGGCACGAAGAACAGGTAAGTGCAACTACGATAATTTTGAAAAAACTAATGAAGATAAAAAAATGTAACTCAAAAATGAAATAAACTCCGTGCAAAATCATGCAACTGCAAGGAACAGACGAAGTTTGTTTTGATGTCTCGCAATCCTGACCCTCCGAGCCATTCCCCACTGACCTTGAACACTGACACCTTTCTGCGCTCTCGTCTGCTCTGAATTCCTGGACAAGCGAATGTTGTATTGCTCCCAAGGCTCGTCAGCCACGTTCAGTCGTGTGCTAGCTTTTCGGGAAGCAGTATATTTTGTCAAAAACTGGTGTAACGTATCACGGCAATAGACAAACGTGTGCTCTCAAATCATTAACTTTAAATGTATGTTTAGGGTCAGATTTCAGTTGAGGACATTTTTAGTGCAGTGATATTACTAGAACGTTTTAGGGAACAAAGATTAACGCAAAACAAGAAACAGGGGAAAATTACCGACTTTTTTAGTCTTAAATTTTTGAATTCAAAACCTTAGCAACACCACGTAGGGCTGATTTATATAAAGTTATTTTTTGGTAAGCATCTTGTTTCAAAATATTTTGTACCTGAGTATAAGTACTTTTTATATAACTAATGAACATCAATTTTATGATTTTAACGCTAATATTGAACAGTATATATTTAAACCTGTTCACATTTTCTAAAGAAAATAATATTACTGTATCTCTAATTTTTGATAAATAAAAAAAATTGCAATCTGGATATGCTTTGAGATATCTAGGATCGACTGTATTTCATAAAATTTCCTTTTTCATAAACAGCATACTCCATCACATATCTACGTTTCTATCGTATTCTAGAGAAGATACGCAGCAATTAAGTTGCAATTTCCTATGAAAAATCTACAAGAAATTGTATTTACTCCTATTTACTGAAAACACATTAATCATTTACATTTTGTGCGTTTTCCTGAATGTAGGCAAAGGTCATAAAGAATTCAAATTGCAACAAAATATGTAAAGTCAAAAGAATTTTTAAAAATATAAATAAATTGAATACTGTTCTTGAAAACTCGTAAATGATTATTATATTACATACCTAGAAAATATGTTATCATGCACCTTGGAATAAACCAAATGCAATGATCAAAAGGCATTAATAACATCATGTATAGTAAATTATATTTTTTGAAACATTATCACCTTTTGTTTTCCAACGCATTTATAGATCGGAGTATTTTGTTAGTTATGAGTAAAGCGTTAATAAAGATACCATTTTATATAAGTATGTTTTATTAACTTGCGAAATTTTCTATAGCGTAACGGTCATCAGACCTGCCTAGCATCTACTAGACACGAGTTCTTAAGTTAGAAATTAAGAGATACCTGAATAAGAATGACACCCTCATTTATTACTTCATAAGTATGAAGAAATCAAAGAACGATTTAAAGAGGGTATAGTCATGACAAGTAGGGTAGTTACCCTTGCCACAATTTTCTTTATTACTTAACAGATAATGTCATAACAATCCTCAATACCACATTTATTTGTCTTTGAAGCTCAAGCACATAAGCTGTGTCGTTAAAGAATAGTATTTTCTTAAGTCCAACAAAACGTATCCACAAATAACAATTTATGCTATTTAGCGCAGTTTCGGTAAGAGTGACCGCGGAACACCAGTAGTTAATCAAGAAAAACAGCAGGTAAAGGACCTGTAACAAATAAACACCCAGTCCCAGTTTTATAGAAATTAATACTGTTCTATAAATCATTGCAAAAGTTTGTATTAAAGCCCTAATAATAACGTGTTTTTTCAGAAGCATATTTCTTTCTCCTGCAGTTCAGGGAATTTTACACTCGTAAAGTAAGTTTCAAATGATATAAATATTTCGAAGCAATAAAAGCAAAGCAAAGCTTCAAAATCGAAATAAACGTTAATTAAGTAATAAATAAGGGAGTAAATTTGTGTTCCTACAGAAACGCTGATAGGCATTTCGAGAACTTGCCATAATAATGTCAAATACCCAAATAAAATAAATTTTTGTCATCATTGTTGGAGTACGTTGCGGAAATAAAATGTAAAAGGCAGATAATTAGTTGGTTGCTAGGTTTTGTTGTTTGAACAAAAGTGTCATAGAAATACAGTAACAAACGTTGAAATGACAACTTGATAAGAAGGAACAGAAATTTAATAAAACATAAAATGAGTGAACAATGTCTCAACATATACTGGGGAGTGTGTTGCAACATAAGCTCGAAATAGCAGTTGTATCGACTTAAAAAAGCACGTAAGCGCAGAATGTAAAGAAAAAATGTGATGATGAATAGCAATTATTCATCTAAAATTTTTGAAATTGTATTAGATATTTGTATTAGATATTTTAAAAAGTTAAAAATGCATGTCATGAATATTATCACAAAAAATATTACTATGAAAATTGAAACACAAGCAAACATCGAAGTGACAACTCAAATTAAAAACTGCTCAATGAAAATAAAATAAATTTAAACATCACAACGGAATGACGAATTACATCAAAATTACAATTGAAACAGAAAGACCGAATCAATTAAAATTGAGCTTAAAATTAATACAAACTTCATAAAAGTTAATTGAAATTGAGCCAAACAATGTTGAAACACGAACAAACAATTATTTGAACGCCTTACTTGAAAAGATCCTCTGACGTCGTAACATCAAAAAACGGGATGGAACGAATGTTATAGGAACAACGTAATAAATATAAAAAAACACATTTCAACAACTTCAAATGTTGAAGCCTCCTTTCAAATTTTTATTGACAATCAAATTAAAAACAATTCAAGATATTGTAAAACATAAATCAAATAAAAGACTAACTTCTTATTTGTTGAAATAACGTTTCGTGAAATAAGTTTGGAAATTCAATCTTAGTGAATAAACATGGTCTTTTTCAATAAATTTTTATTTGTTTGTGATTTGACTGTCTTATAAAAATTGAAAGTATACTTCAACATTTCAAGTAATTCAGAGACAATCATTTCATCAATGATAACACATTTCAACAATTTACTGAAAAGAGCGTGGTTGCCTAAACGTCTAAAAAGGGAGTAAACGAATGGTGTAGGACTTGAAAATTATCACGAAAGGGGCGGAACAACAGAATTAAAATGGAAGAAAACATGTCAACAACGTACCGGAGAGCGCGTCGCAGTGCAGCCCTAGGGCAGGGGCAGCTCCGAAGTCTCACGCGCGGCGCCGGCGGCAGCAACAACGGACGATCGCGATCGCGAGCGGCATGCCTCTCGGCGCAGGGGCAGCCGTCAACCGGGCAGCGGGCGGGCGGCGGGCGAGCGAGCCGGCGCGCTGGGACGCACTGGCGGCGTGAGCAGCGCGGCTCGGCCGGCGGCGCGCGGCGGAGGCAGCGGCTTTGAAGGGGAGGGGCGGGGAGTGCGCAGGGAGGGGAGGCAGCGCCGCTGCACGCGAGCGCGCGAGGGCGCATGCGGGCGGAGGTCCACGGCGGCGCGCCGGGGCGGGGTGGAAAGGAGAGGGGAGGAAAGTAAATGCAGAGTCCATTCGGGAGGAAGGGAAGAAGAGATGAGGGTTGTTTTGCACTTGTAACGCGCGATGCGATGAGTGGGTGTAGGAGGGGAAGATGTTGACGCGTTTGTAAAGCAGTACCGAACGGCGGGTAGGAATAAGGAGTGTAAATGTTAAAGTTGTGAAACTGTGGGCTCGTGCGCTCCTATAAACGATATGTTATCTTAAATACTCTGTAAAAAGTCAACAGTATCTCTGTCAAACTAAATCCTCACCTTTGTAGGTCTATACAGACCTTATAGATCTAACGCTTCAAACATGTAAGGAATCCTCCACTAAAATATGGGTGTAGCATATACATCTAACTTCGAACTTCTTTGGCATTTCAAGAGTAAATCGTCACGCGAAATAGAAAATGCACTTTTCAAACACTTTAGTAAAGTTCTATTCGATAACATCCAAAATCACCAAAGGAACAGAGAACTGAGGCACCAGGTATGTGCGAAAACTGGTCTTGCATTCCAAGCGACGAGGAAGGGAGGGAACAGAGTAGGCAACTAAAGGCGTCTCTGTTCGGGTGAGAGGAGGGGGGTGTACTTTGCTCGTGTAATGCGCTCTGCGAGGAGTAGATGGTGAAGTAGAGATGTTCGCGGGGTTGTAAACTGGTGAGATGCAAGCGATGCTGCGAGCGGGGAATATCCTGGTAGCGGATTTGCAGGCACGTACGCTTTCACGGTGGTGGTGCGAATTGCGAAAGGTACAAAGGCGCAAAGAGAAGTGACTCCTCCAGGTCGCTCCATACTAAAGACGCAGAGATGGGATTTCTGTGAGAGAACTAGAGTTCTATAATCAAACAACAAAAATTAACCCAGAAGTGTTTAGCAGAACTGTTATTTACGTCGACTATTCCATTCGTTAACCAATAGCGTTTAACTATACATACAAAATGTCTCAATCTGTGCGCTATATATGAAAAAGTTTACCGCTTCTACCTTCTGGCCGATCATAAACTGTGACTCATTTACCTTAATAGGCGTTATACATAGATCGCTATATCGATGTCCCATAAACAGCGTATGTACTATAACATAACCTCTGATTTTAACATGCGCTTTCAGTTATTTTCAATATTTGGCGCATTTTGGAACTCTGTTTGACATAATTTCACTCGTGGAATAATCCTATTAAATACCACTCGTGCTTTGGAAATTCTCAGATAAATCCTCTCCTCGCTTCGCGAGTTGCGAATTTATCGATAATTTCCAATTTACTCGCAGTATTACCTATGATAAACTCCTGATTAGCGAGTTAAAAGTGAGAGCACAGCAGCGTCCGTTAAAATGCTCGAGAGAAATCACACGAGTGCTCATAAATCTTTGTATAAATATGTGGTTGTCACAAAACAGAATGTTTGGGAATAAATGTAAACAAAATGTATTTTTTACAATTTTTTTAGTAAAGATATATTAAAATTACAAGTTTTGAACGTACCACCGAATATAAAGCTCCTTTTGTCCACCTTGTACCTCTTTCTCTCCTTCTGCCTTTGTCTCATTTCGTCCCTTTTATCCCCCTAATCTCATTTTCTCCATTGGTTTCCCTTGTCCATTTGTCCCTCGTGTCCTATTTGTCTCATTTTGTCCCCCATTGTTCAATATTGTCCCCACTGTAGCATTTCGTCCCCTTTGCACCCTTTTCCCGTTGTTCTTTTTGTTCCATTTGTTCCCTCATCCCCTTTCTCCAGTTGATCCATCCTCTTTTGTCCCCATTACCAGTCTTTCCCTTGTGTTGCCTCGTCCCATTTTGTCCCCTTTAACCCCCTTTTCCCATTTTGTCGCACTTGCCTTAATTTGTCCCCCTTTGATCTTTTGGTCCTTCCGCACATTGCGATTTTTATTTTAAAACGGTATCAAGACCCTGAACCAAACCCTGACCCTTTCCACAGAACATCGTTTAATGGCAATTTTTTACTCATACAAGAGTTAAATGTTTATTTTCAATTAGTGATAAACCAGAAATAACAAATATATTGTAGGTAACACCTTCTCTGTTTGTCTAAGCTCCGTTATCACTCTGCCTCGCAGTTAATCTTCTTGCCCTATCCGTAAAGATCAATTTAGAGGAGGTGTGACATATATAACAATTAAATCATTCTGCACTATACGTATCACGGTTATACATGTAATGTTTCGAAGAAGAATAATTCTCTAAGAGTATTGTGACGTGTTACTATGGCCCATATCACAAGTTACCATACATTGACATACCGTTCTTCTTGATTCTCCCCTTTGACCTCTCTCTTAACCTCCCTCTCTCCCTCGCCTGTCCTCTGCTACGCAAACCTATTCAGCGGCCATTGTAGAGTCCATGACCTTGACAAGGTGTAACAGGACTTAAAGGCGCACATCGTAAATAGTTTGTTTTCTTAAAACAAAAGGCAACAAGAAGTTTATTTTGTTTTTATTCACCAAAATATTGTAACAATGTAAAAAACAAAATATACGGTAATAATCTTACTGAATTATGGTGATGTACTTTATATAATATTCAACAATTTGCATGTGTTTGAATACAGCTTTAATACGAAATGACTAGAATAGCTTATTTCAAAGCACATCACAAAACTCTAGTCAAAAGCTGTAGATATACTACATGTGCTATGCTGACTTGTATTGAAATTTTACCTACTTTACAATTAAAAATGTCACAGAGGCGGTAGATACTATTAACAACTACAGCAATAAATATGTGTACACGGTGCTCATCCAAAGAAACTGAGGTAACTCTATAAAGTGGAATGTAGCAGGTGAAACAAAATTCTTCTTTTTACCATGGTTAAATGTTACTTCTTATTAAGATCCTATTAAGTGTTATTTCTAATATAATTTTCTGATATTAATGTTCTCACTGATGAAATGATATCCATAATTACCAGATTTGTTTTGATCATTCACACCTTGCAAGAAAAGAGTAGGGCTAGAAGTAATAACTTTCTCTCCCTACCGGTCCGCTAGTCGCTAATCGCCCTCATTAATATTATAATGTCCGTTAAAGATAAGAGAAAACTACAATAATCGTTCAGCTACACTGTATCAAACATTCACACGTACTAAGAAAAGCTTATTGAACTATTATACAACAAACAAGGTCAGATGTACATTATAAACGAACCTTTTCGTCGACCACAACGTTCGTGTTTGCTTGTCGTTGGCAACCGCGGACATTCACGGTCGTGCCCAGTGAGTAGGGTAGCCAACTTTTATCCAATAAAAAGTGTAACATTAAAAAAGAACAATTTCATTATGGGACTGCATTTGAAAATTATCTGGATACGGGTACGACACAAAGTATGTTTAGTATATTATCATTGTAAATGACCGTGTTTGATGCGGTAAATCGTTCATAAATTTGAATTTTCAGGCACAAATCATGGCATTGTTTTTAGATTTACTTCATGACGAAAGTATTTGCCGTGTTTGCGGACGTATTTGCATTTATATTAATAATTAGGAATAACATGTAAAAAGTAAGAACCATTAATCGTGTTAGAAAAGGAGTAAATGAGAACCGACAAAGAGACACGCAATACGATATCTCTGTACGTCGGTATTTCTCAATAAACTACTCGTGTAATACTTTCTAGCTTTTGTAACTAGAACGTGTATTTGGTCACACCAAACAACCTACCCTGAAACTGATTCATGGAAGTAACAATCCTCGCAGATGAAATTTTAGATTTCTGCACATTTAATTCTATTCAAAAATGTTTGTATTAATTTTCGTAAATGGCTTGACCTTTCGTAGGATGGATTGACTTCCAATATTTGTTGGATGAAAACCTTCATTAGACTAATTGTTTTGTATTTCAACACAAGTAAACGATTATGTTGAAAACAAACGCAATCTTACACATAATAGAAAGTTCTTTCTATAATGTTATTTTGTAGTGTGAAACAATGAAAAGCCGGTCCGGATGGCCGACATCGCTAGTGCAGTAGAGCCGTAGCGATCTCGGACCGAAAGATCGCGGGTTCGTGTTCCGCCTCGGGCATGGTTGTATTGTGTTCGTCCTTTCAGCCCCTAATATGATCATATTTTGTCATCGTCATAGTTACCATACCGTTACATGCAATAGTGATCGCTAATAACCTAGAAGCTGATGCGACCTTAACTTTAAAAAAATGAAAGAAACGAAGGCGGTTTGGAATACGAAGATGTAGTATTTGGAGTTAAGGTTATTAATTCTGCCATGAAAACAACAAGCACAGTAATGTCTACCGTACGACGTACTGGGGCCAGGTGATACTCGTATAAAATCAGCCTTACCAAAAGTCTGAAGATAAATGAATAGTGGGTGTACGAGGTCATTGCGAGAACTGCTGTATAATATTGTATTTTAAAATTTACAAGTATAACCAATGAAAGAATTTTCTAGTGACTTTGCTCTGATTGTAGTTTTTCATAGTTTCTCCGATCTAAACCAGGCTCACCCCGTGGAAGTACCATAATAAACGTGTCGCGGTCCGCGCGCGATCTTTCCTACATCTTCCTTACCCTATCTTCACCCCTTACGCACACTTATATTAACATTCACTACACTAGCACGCCATGCCGGGAGAGCGTTCGGGAGCATAGAGCGCGTTCGGGTTGGGGCGGTGATACCCGGTTGGGGAAAACCCCGCTATCCTGTGGTAGGTCGACGCCGTATCTCGCCATATAGTAGGAGAATCCACCGCCAGCTCCCGAGCAAAATCATCATCACTTACGGGGCAAATGACCCTATTAGATGACGCGCCCAGAATCACGAACAATCAGTCAGTCATTGCGACTTGAACAATGAATACAAGTACAAATTCTTTTCCAAACCATAATCTATGATATATCTTTGATTGCCAGCTGTATTTAAGGAATAGTATAGATAACATAAACCTGCTTACAACTAAATTACATTATTGTAAATTG